ATGGCTCAGACGGTTAAGTGTCTGCCTTCGGCTCAGGTCATGATCCCAGGGTCCTGGGATCGAGCCCCACACTGAGCCTGCTTCTCCCTCTGCCTCTGCCTGCCGCTCCCCCTGCTTGTACTCTGTCAAATTAAATAAATAAATAAACACACACACACACACACACACACACACACACACACACACACACATGAGGGCTAGTGGAGGGGCGGCCTGGGTGGCTCAGTCATTAAGTTTCTGCCTTCGGCTCAGGTCATATTCCCAGGGTCCTGGGATCCGCATCAGGCTCCCTGCTCGGCAGGCAGCCTGCTTCTCCCTCTCCCACTCCCCCCGCTTGTGTTCCCTCTCTAGCGGTCTCGCTGTCAAATAAATAAATAAAATCTTAAAAAAAAAAAAAAGATGATGGCTAGTGGAGATATTTTACAAGCATCTTAATTGTGACTAAAAACTTTTACATGCAACTGGAGAACTCAGCTTGGAAAAGAAAAATGGATGATGAAAGATTAATGTAATGGCATATTCTAATAAGCAAATTAACTTCTAAGCTGATATGCTGTGGTTTCTGACCACCTCACCCAAAAGAATATATTTTTCATACACAAAAATAATACTACATATTATAGTCTGTGAAAACTCAAATACGACATATAATAGTCTCAAACATAACACATCTAAAACAAAAATCTTGATTTTTTTTTTTCCTATTTAGACCTACTTCTCCGATCTTCCCTATCTCAGTTTATAGTACTACTATTAAGGTTAAGCAGTAGGGTACTCCTTGTTTCTCTTTTCTATCTCATTATATTTAATTCAAAAGTAAATCCTACTGGCTCTACCTTCAAAATATATCCTCAGTCAGACAAATAATTACATTGGCTCCTCTACATTCAGGAACCAGCAAAATGTTTCTTTGTAACACTACTTACTATTTGTTTATTGACTGTTCCTCCTAGCTAGAATATAAACTCCATGAGAGGAATGATTTTGTTTTCTTGCCACTCTCCCCGGCATCAAGAACACAGAGGCACTGTGGAATGAACATTCTCAATGCAAACTGAGATAGAAGAGGCATGCCCATCCCCCCCACATCCACTACCCATTCTTATTTTAATAAGGGGGAAAAAAGTCTTTGAACATGTAATTTAAATAAATGATCTTCGACCATGAAGCAAATAATCCTACAGGAAGACATCATAAAAGATTGATTCCTTACTCCTAACACAGTACTCTAAATGGAAAAACCTGGTTTTCAAGAAGGAAACAATTAGAAGTCAATGCAAATACATAGCTATTTTCATGGCAAATAGTATTTGAAAGATTTACCAATAACTAAGTCAATAGTTCCTTTGGAAGAAATCAATTCAGCACTATCAGCTGGAACTTAAAAAAAAAAAAAAGACACCAAAACCTTCAAACAACAGTGAATTTTGTACAACACAAGGAAAACTACTACCTGTATTTTTAGTAAGAGTATCTAGCTGGGCTTGAGAATTTAACAATCTAATAACCATATGATTAGGAAAAAAAACTCCACTTTAATAAGCCTATATTATATGCTAATTTATCTAGCATTGTGTGAATTTGGGCAAGTCCTTTACAATGAAACAAAATTTTAAAAAATTAACAACAAAAAAAACAAATCAACCAGTCCCAAGTCATGAGAAGTTTTAGTCAAAAAAAGATGGGGCATGGGCGCCTGGGTGGCTCAGTTGGTTGAGCGACTGCCTTCGGCTCAGGTCATGATCCTGGAGTCCCTGGATCGAGTCCCACATCGGGCTCCCTGCTTGGCGAGGAGCCTGCTTCTCCCTCTAACCCTCCCCCCTCTCATGTACTTTCTCGCTCTCTCAAATTAATAAATAAATCTTTAAAAAAAAAAAAAAAGATGGGGCATGAGGTTGGCAAAAGATTTAAGTCAGAAGTTTAAAGTCAGTTTAAAAACTTGAAAAAGTTGGTTTAATTGTTAATGCATTAGGAATTGCTACTTGTACAGGAGGAAGTTATGATATCCAGTATGCAGTAATACATAATATCTTTGCCAAGTTATGTGAAGCACAGTGTTCTCAATATGACAGATCTGATCTGATAAAACTTCCTGGATTTTCAAATTCAAATGACAAGAGATTTTACTCTAAGAATGCAATTTCCAGGGGCGCCTGGGTGGCTCAGTCGTTGGGCATCTGCCTTCGGCTCGGGTCGTGACCCCGGGGTCCTGGGATTGAGCTCCGCATGGGGCTCCCTGCTCGGTGGGAAGCCTGCTTCTCCCTCTCCAACTCACCCTGCTTGTGTTCCCTTTCTCTCTGTGTCTCTGTCAAATAAATAGGTGAAATCTTTAAAAAAAAAAAAAAAAGAATGCCATTTCTAATTTTAAAAATGTGATTCAGTGACAAAAATCGCATTTCATTAAAAAAAAAATCAACTCTGGGGGCGCCTGGGTGGCTCAGTCCCAGTTAAGCATCTGCCTTCAGCTCAGGTCATGATCTCGATCCTGGGATCGAGCCCCACATCAGGCTCTCTGCTCAGCGGGGAGTCTGCTTCTCCCTCTGCCCTTCCTTGTGCTGTTTCAAATAAATAAATAAAATCTTAAAAAAAAATTTAACTCTGAAGTAATTCTTGATGAAGAGTTTCAATGCCTTGAAGGGAGGTATGTGGGGGGATGGGTTAAATAGGTGATGGGGTAAGGAGTAGTACACTTGCTATGATGAACACTTGGTAATGTATGGCATTACTAAATCACTATATTATACACTGGAAACTAATATTGCACTGTATGTTAACTAACTGGAATTTAAATAAAACCTTAAAAAAAAGTTTCAATACCTTTAAACAGGAATGTCCAGAAACAGAACAACTCTAAAACATATAATTTTCTTCAGGTCCCTCAGAGATTCATGTCCATCCCAGACACGCAAAATACATCACCCCATCCCAACATCCCCAAAAGTTTCAACCACTCCATCAACAACTCAAGTCCAAAATGTCATTATCTAAAAGTTATTCAAGCAGACTCTGAGTATGATAAATCATGGAGCAAAATTCCTTTCCACCTGTATAACTAGAAAACAACTTACCACTTCTAAAATACAGTGGTGGGACAGGCACCAGATAAGTTATGATGGAGTTTCCCATTCCAAAGGGGAGAAAATGGTAGAAAGAAAGGAGTCACTGCTACCAAGCAATTTCAAAATCCAGAAGGTCAAATTCCATTAGTTTTCAAGACCTGGGAATACTGTGGCCTGTGGCTCTACCTTCTGGGCCATTATTCCTTTTTCTTGAAGGGAAGCACATGTTTGCAGCTGAGCAGTGCTATCAGCCTGTTTCCTACCTATAGAATTTTGGAAGTTCATTAGCCTTTCCTCAACCTGTCAGTCCAAACTGGCAGTGTTTCTGCTGATATAACATTCTCAAAACCGTTCTAGGTCACCTGTGTCTGCCATGAGGGTTCACACCATTAGACAAGATGGTCCTACAAAGGACTTGATCTCTATTCAATCTCTATTCCTGGTTTTTGCTGAGATTACTGAGGAGATCCATGAGTCATGTGTGCAATCTCTTCAGAAAGAGCAAAAGGTTATCTAGCCATGCTCTTGGCTTTCTCTCCAAACCACTTTCCTGACAGTGAATCTCCTAACTTCAGTATCTTCTGCAACCTGGATAGACTGAGAATCTCCCAAATCATCAAGTCCTGGATCTTTTTTGCTTTACAGTTCTTCCCACAATCTCACCCATTCCTCTCACATTTACTATGAGCCACAAGAAACCAGGCCACAACTTCAATACTTTGGAAATCTCCTCAGCTAAATAGCCAACTTCACTGCTTACATGTTCTCTTTTCTATATAAATGTAGGACACAATTCAGCTAGGCTTTCTGGCGCTATATAACAAATACCTCCTTTCCTTCATTTTCTAATAATATGTTCATTTCCCTCTGACTCCTTCAACATTCCTATTTCTACCAACATACTGTTTATGATGGTACATTATTCTCTAAGATGATAGTTTTCTCTCCCATGCTCCTAACTTTATTCTGAGCCCTCACCAGCAGTGCCTTTGAAGTCCATATTTCTACCAACCATCTACTCAAGGTAGTCTATGCTCTTTCTATCATGTGCCTCAAAATTCTTCTAGTTTCTACTCATTACCCATTTCCAAAGACATTTCTACAGTTATAGTTATTTGTTACAGTAGCACCCCACTTCCTGATATGAAAATCCATATTAGTTTCTATGGCTGCTATAACAAACTACCACAAACTTGGAGGCTTGAAACAATGGAGACTTATTCTATCACAGCCTAGAGACAAAGTCTAAAATCACTATCACTGAGCTAAAATCAAAGTGTCAACAGGGCCACATTCCCTCCAGAGACTCCAGTGGAGTCTGTTCCTTGCTTCTTCTAATTCTGGTGGCTATCAGCATTCCTTGGCTTGTGGTCACATCACTCTGCCTCTGCTTCTTGAGGGGCCATAATTCAGCCTGCCCCAGATGCATACTCTTTAATGCCTCTCTTTGCCTTCACCGTCTTTTGGTTTATTTGTTTCAAAGAGTTTTATGTCATCAGCTTAATTGTCCATGTTCTTAAGGAAATATATTAACAAAATCTGTGGGATCAGAAATGCAGTGAGAAATTTAAATAGGCAAATTCTATGTGAAGAAAAAGTAGAAAATTTAGCTATTGCCCTCCATCTTATTTAACTTCTGGGAAATGAAGCAATTTTCATGTCCATAATAAAAAAAAGAAGTTGGTAAACAAAATACAACTGTGATCATAAAAGTAAAGGGTTTTTAGGAAAGGTCCACTCAGGAAATAGATCAGGCCAAGGATCATGATCAAAGGTTACCTGCAGTGACAGGCAGGCAATCACCTCCATAACTAAAGACAATACATGGTTTTAAAGCTACTATATAACAGTTTCTCTCCTCCCTCAAGCCTTTAAATTTTAAAACCTGTTCTATACTCAAATGGAAAGCAGAGTTAAAGATAAATTTATTATTGTTCTTACCTCTACACAGTCAAAATTCTCATCAACTTTAGATGCATATTCAACACGGAACATTGTTGACAAGCTACCAGCAATATAGTATAACAGGATCTTCAAACCCTTGTAACCAAAAGCAGTCTCACTGAAAAGGAAAAAATATCAGTAATCTGAGACCCCAGAAAGATTCTTTGCAAAGTCATTACAAAGTATTAGCCCTACATATAAACAAGTTTAACTTTATGGGTAGTTTCAAGATTTTAAACCATACCTATTTTAAAAAGAAACAAATATTTGTAACGAAACTGTGCCTCAGCTTTCCTCATTTATAAAATAAGAGAGGCGCGCCTGGCTGGCTGTGCTGGTAGAGCATGTGACTCTTGATCTCAGGGTTGTGAGTTCGAGCCCCACCTTGAGTGGAGAGATTACATAAAAATAAAATCTTTAAAAAATAAAAAATAAAGTAAGAATAATAGCACCTACCTCAGGGACGTTGTTTGGGTTACATGAGCAAGTTAATACCTATAAACTGCTTATAATGTTGACCAGCACATTATATAAGTATGTAATAAATGTAATATATCATTGCAGCTGCTTCTACTACTAGTACCACAGAAGGCATTTCAAATCAGACACAAGTGGTATTTAAACTGGTACCTCGCTAGGCAAGCAGCTAAGATGTAGCTTTGGCCCAGTCTTTCCTCCAGTTCACCACTTGCTTCCATCATCAACATCCAGAGCTGCTGAAAGTGGTGAAAGCATCTAATTACATCACCCTATGAACTCAGAAAGCAGATCTGGAGCTGCTGTTATTTTTCCAGCCCTGCTTCCTGCAATCTACCTACACCCTGATATTCTCTTCTCTGGCTTAAAAAGAGTCTTTCAAATTGTGAATCTAAAATATCCAGAATAGGTAAAACTACAGAGACAGAAGGTAGTTTAGTGATTGCTAGGGCTGGGGGCTGGGGAGATTAAGGGAGGAAAAAGAGAATGACTGCTAACTGGTTATGGGAATTTTGGTGGGAATGACAAATGTTCTGAAATTGACTGTAATGACTGCACAACACAATATACTAAAAATCATTGAACTGTATACTTTAAATAGATGAATTATATGGCAAATTACATCTCACATCTCAATAAAGTTTTTTTTTTTTTTTTAAAGTGAATGCTGAAGAAGAGTGCCTGAAAGGAGCAGTGTCATTTCCAGATTTCTGTCTAGGCATAAAATAAAACATAAGCAGTGTCCATTCCAGGACTCTGAAAGTTATGTGCATAAAAAGGAGTGCCAATGATAAGTAGGATTAAGACCAATGTCATACTTGAGTCATAAGATACAGGGTCATGATTATGTGACTGTCATCTGTCTACCTTAGGAGTATGCAAGCATTTTTAATGACATGCAAAACAGAATGAATATACAAAATACCACTGAGAAGCATTACTTGTAAGACTAGATTCTATGCACCTAAGGAAGAGATTTTAAATAGCAAGAAGAGGAAAGGAATAAAATAAATAGCTCCTTAATGATAGAAATCCCAAAAGAAAATGTTCTTATCTTTATAATAAAATAAAAGCTATTAAAAATACAAAAGGTTCAAATTTGGCATGAATCAATATGTAATAAAATTATTAATATTTAAAAGCACATAAAATGCCCGCTCTGATACATTAATAATGAAAAATTCTGAGGAAATTTGTCCCATGGAGAGACATTTGTCAACTTCAAAACACATTAAATAAACATGTGAACAATGCTGAAATAACACGTAGGTAAAATCGCCACGAAGGGCAATATTTTAAATGTCAACTATGTCAAAACACCCTTTCCTACTACAACAAAGCAGCATTCCTTGGGAAAATGGCTAACTCCAGAACTAGTAGAAAAAGTGTAAGATGAATGAACACCTTATTGTATTCAAAAGTAAAGTGTCCCCCAAATAATGATGATATATCAAAAGGATTCAAAAACTGGTTTGTAATGGGATAATTTGAGCATCATAATTACTAACAGTAGCGGATTATGACCCCTTGGATTAAAAAAGATTCTCTGAGTCTATTCTGATATAAACAAAGAAATACATAAGGGGAAAAAGAGACGCTCTTCCTTATAGAATGCCAACTAATAAATGTAGAAGGTATGACAGAGTTAGAAAAATCACCATTTTACAATCACAGTAAAAGATTCAAAGAATCATCAGTGGATTTAAAACTACTAGATGAAAGTCTGATGGGAAACAGGATCTTTTCAATCTCAAGAGTATCTCCCCACAGATTACATAATAAAGGAAAAAACCTTATAGTGGAGAAAGCTGACAGACACCTCTAAACTAAGTGACCCAAGTTAACAAACAATGCAACAAACTGACATTATAGACTTTCTGATTATGACAGACTGAGACGGACACACACAACCTCTGTGGTACTATAAAAATGTATATTATCGGGGTGCCTGGATGGCTCAGTCGTTAAGTGTCTGCTTTCAGCTCAGGTCACGATCCAGGGTCCTGGGGTCAAGCCCCACATCAGGCTCCCTGCTCAGCGGGAAGCCTGCTTCTCCCTCTCCCACTCCCCATGCTTGTGTTCCCTCTCTCACAGTCTCTGTCAAATAAATAAATAAAAATCTTAAAAAAAAAAAAAAAAGTACATTATCTGAATTTAATCATGAAGAAACAAACTAATGCAAAATGAAGGTTTATAAAACTAACCTATACCCTACAAAAATGTCCATGTCACAAAAAACAAAGAAAGGCTGAGGAACTGTTTCAGGTTAAAGGAGACCAAAGAGATATGACAACTAAATGTAATATGTGGGGCGCCTGGGTGGCTCAGTCAGTTAAGCATCTGCCTTGGACTCAGGTCATGATCTCAGGGTCCTGGGATTGAGCCCCACATTGGGCTCTCTGCTCAGCAGGGAGACTGCTGCTCCCTCTCCCTGCTGCTCCCACTGCTTATACTCTCTCTCTCTGTGTCAAATAAATACATAAAATCTTAAAAAAAAATAAAATAAAAATTAAATAAATGCAATATATGTCTCTAGATTGGATTCAGAATGAGGAAAATTGTTATGAATTACTGGAAACAAAGTGGCAAAATTTGAAATGTGGACTGTATCTTAGAAAACAGTACTACAGCAGTGTTAAATTTCCTCAATTTTGGTAATTATATGGTTATTGTCCTTGTTTTTAGGAAATACATACTAAAGAACTTAGAGGTAAGGGATCAAGATATATCTGCAAACAACTCTCAAGTGGTTCAACAACTTTCCAATATATCTATCTATATAGGACAGAATGATTAAGGCAAATAGAACTAAATGTTAACAAGTGGTGAATCTAAATAAAGGATATACAGAGTACTATTCTTTTTTCCTTTGAATCAATTAACATATAGTGTACTATTAGTTTCAGAGGTAGAGTTTCAGTGATTCATCAGCTGCATATACACCCAGTGCTTACATCAAGTGCCCATCATACTATTCTTATAACTTTCTGCAAATAAGTTTTTTTCACAATCAAAAGTTTAAAAAAATGGTAAATGACTATTCTAATAATGTAATGAAGCTACAGGAAATTAAGGGATTGTGCTGAATATCCCAGGACGTATCTATAATGTTGCTTTTAAAAATGAATTTCTCGGGGCGCCTGGGTGGCTCAGTCAGTTCAGTGTCTGCCTTAGGCTCAGGTCATGATCCCACGGTCCTGGGATCGAGCCCTGCATCTGGCCCTGCGCCGCAGGGAGCCTGCTTCTCTCTCTGCCTCTGCCTACAGCTCCCCCTGCTTGTGTTCTCTCTGTCAAATAAATAAAGTTTTTAAAAATAAAAAAGAAAAATAAATAAATTTCTCTTAACTGCCTATTTACTTGTCACAGAAGAACAACTTGAGCTTTCTAGCTTCAGGAGAGTCTATTCTGTACTAAGAGCAGTATAGCAAAGGAGCAGGAAGAAAAAGTAGTAATTATGAAGATAGGCTTCATAGACAGATTGCCCGAATCTGAACTTTGGTCATTCCCATGTCCTTAAGCAGCTATTCAATTCCACCAATGTACAATGTAATGAATGATAATACCATCGCTAAGGCAGTTGTGAGAATTAAATAATGTGGGGCGCCTGGGTGGCTCAGTTGGTTAAGCGACTGCCTTCGGCTCAGGTCATGATCCTGGAGTCCCAGGATCGAGTCCCGCATCGGGCTCCCTGCTCAGCAGGGAGTCTGCTTCTCCCTCTGACCCTCCCCACTCTCATGTGCTCTCTCTCATTCTCTCTGTCTCAAATAAATAAATAAAATCTTTAAAAAAAAAAGAATTAAATAATGTATCCACAGCACTACATGATAGGTATGATACAGTAAACTGGTGTTTCAATGTCAAAAATGCATTCTAATGTATATTTTTAAATAAATTACATAAAAAAACAGCAAAGAAAATAAAGCCTGTTTTCTAGATCTTAAAAAAAAAAATTTTTTTTTTTTTGGCCACACTAATTTGGCAAAGTTACTTACTCATCCCCAAAGAGTTGATGGGTATATTCAGGAAAGAAAGTTCTAATGTCATTCTCAAGATCTTCAGGAAAACGAACTGTTTAAAAGAATAAAAAATATAGAGATATTAAAGATACTAAATTAAAGATATTAAAGGTGACAGGTATTTCCATTTCAAGAATTTCACTATAACTAGGATACAGCCAACATCTTTCTTACTTAAAATGTCACTTTTCCATTATATGATTTACAGTGGATTCTCATGAGACAAATGAACAATGAAAATTAGAGTAACACTTTGAGTGCTTCAGTGTCAAAACCCTATGATTCTAAGAATTAGAAAACTAGGTATGCCAAAGGCATCTGATTTCGTTTTTATTTTTCTTTATGTTTATATACAATGCAAAGAGTAAAAGAAAACAAAACCAAAAAAGACACTCTGAGATAAGAAAAGCTACAGCATCAAAAAAACTAAAGAAGAATGCTATAGGAAACATTCTGAGAATAAGAGTAATCTGAGTTTTGAGGAGGCCTTTACCATTACATCACTCTCTATCAGTGCAAGATGATATTCATGTTATTCCTAGGTTTGGGTTTTTGTTTTTGTTTTGTTATTAAAAATAACCCTGCAATGACATCCTTATATATGCTTTGCTGTACTTTTACATACAGTATACACAGGATAAATTCCTGGCAGTAGAAATGCTGAGTAAAAGTACTGAATTATTTTTATAAATACTGCTTAAGTGCCCTCTAAAAATATTTTAACAGTTTATATACCTACTAGCAGCTACTTAAACTCCTTTACTTCCCCGATTCTTGAGAACATTCTGTACCCTCAACATCAATTTCTACCAATTTAAGATGGAAATGGGTACCCTGTTATTTTATTTGCATTTTTTGAGTTCTGATACTATTGGACATTTCCCCAATATAATTTATCTTACGTAGAAAAAAACCTTATCCTCCCCCCACCAAACTCTTTAAACTGAAGAATGAAAAGATAAGTTGTAGATGAAAAATTTCCAACACTGTCCTCCTAGAACAGGTTATTCACAGGGTGCCAAAGTATCATCCAGCAGATTAATGATTTACAGAAGAAAAGATATCTTTTCACTGTAGAGATCCAGCAGTTACCACCTTTCCAAGTAATCTAACTTAGAATCACTCATTATAGGATAGACCAACATTGTATGTCTCCTGATTCAATGCAATATAACATATACAGCCATCATTTATGAAACATTTTCTTAACAAAAATCTTTATCCTAGCTCTAATCCAGCTTTAAATCTTCCAATTTACAAGAAATATAGAGGACAGGGTAACAAGTTAACTACTACCAAAAGAAAACAGACAAATCCAGAATGTAGATTTGTTTATTAGTTCTACTCAATAACTTTACTCTTCCAAATAAATCAATGGTATGGAGGAAAAATTTCCATGTTGTGGGGAAGGACTGTTTTTTTTTTTAATTCTTTATTTTTATTCTTTTCAATTTTATTTTATTATGTTATGTTAGTCACCATACATTACATCATTAGTTTCTGATGCAGTGTTCCATGATTCATTGTTTGTGTATAACACCCAGTGCTCCATGCAGTACATGCCCTCCTTAATACCCGTCAGTGGGCTAACCAATCCTCCTACCCCCCTCCCCTCTAAAACCCTCACTTTGTTTCTCAGAGTCCATAGTCTCTCATGGTTCGTTTTCCCCTCCGATTCCCCTCCCTTCATTTTTCCCTTCCTACTATCTTTTTTTTTTTTTTTTTTTTTAACATATAATGTATTATTTGTTTCAGAGGTACAGGTCTGTGATTCAACAGTCTTACACAATTCACAGCGCTCACCATAGCACATACCCTCCCCAATGTCCATCACCCAGCCACCCCATCCCTCCCAACCCCCACCACTCCAGCAACCCTCAGTTTGTTTCCTGAAATTAAGTATGGAAGGACTGTTCTGAACTGAAAGAGATTAAAGAAACATTACAGCCAAACATGATGCAGGATCCTTGACTGAATTCTGGGTTAAATAATTTTTATTAAAAAGCTACTGAATTCTTTCAAGGACAACCAGGGAAAGCAGAAAATTATACGATATTAAAGAATTACCATTAATTTTCATAGGTATGATAATAGAATTATGGTTATATATATGAATATTAATATATTAGGACTGTCATGATGTTCAGAAATCTACTTTTGGGGTGCCTGCATGGCGCCATCAATTAAACATCCAACTCTTGGTTTCAGTTTGGGTTGTGATCTCGGGGTCATGAGATCGAGCCCTGAGTCGGGCTCCGAGTCTGGTGCAGAGTCTGCTTGGGACTTCCTCTCCCTCTCTCCCTCCTCCCCGTTTGAGCATGGACACATGTTCTCTCGCTCTCTAATAAATAAATCTTTTTTAAAAATCTACTTTCAAATAACTTAGCAAAAGTACATATTAAAGCAAATATAACAAAACATTAATTGTTGAATTTAGGTATTGGATATATAGGTTAAGTATTGTTCTATTCTCTCAACTCTTCTCTGTGTTAACAAATTTTCATAATGAAAACTGAAATTGAAAAAAGCCCTGGGCAAATACAGCAAAATGTTAAGACATGAAAAAGCTAAGTGATGAGATCATGATATTCATTAGCTTGCTCTATGTTTTTTGTATGTCTGTAATATTACACAATAAAAAAATAAAACAATCCAATATGTCTAGACTCATTAACCTCCAAAATTTCCCACTACTGCATCTCTAATATTTAAAAATATTTGGAAGTCTCTAGAAATTATTAAAAATAAATTTCAGGGGCACCTGGCTCAGTTGTTAAGCGTCTGCCTTCGGCTCAGGTCATGATCCCAGGGCCCTGGGATCAAGCCCCACGTCAGGCTCCCTGCTCAGCAGGGTGTCTACTTCTCCCTCTCCCACTCCCCCTGCTTGTGTTCTCTCTCTCGCTGTGTCTCTGTCAAATAAATAAAATCTTTAAAAAAAAATTAATTTCAAACTACCGTTCTAATATAATATATAGCACTTTGGTAGTGATGAGAGGCACAAGAGAAAAATGTAACAACTGTCAAAAATGTAGTTATGATAACTATTTCTATAATTTGGATTGGCCTTCTTCCAATATATCTGTCATCTAAACTATTAAGGTTTTACTATTTCAGCATGAAATTTAGTCCACAGGTAATAGGAACTAAAAGAAAGAGAAAGCAAAGTGATGAGTCTTTTAGTTGAAGTAAGAATCAAATAGCTTAAGGCAAATATATAGTTAAATATTTATTGTTTGGATGTGATTAGATTTGGGTGAAACAATCTAAGAGAAATTCTTAAAAACCAATGCTATGTACCTTACAAAGGATTCTTTTAGTATCGAATAAATGAAGTTTTTATATTAGTCATTGTATTACATGAAAACTGTTGGCTGTACTACGTTTAGCCACACTGAGCAGATCCCTAAAAAGCTGCCCCCAAATTGCTGGGATTACACACTGAGTAGACATCCCGGGTTATACTTTATAGAGATCAGCCTAAAAGTTATCTCCTCAAAAAGGGTCTTTAAGATAAAAAGTCCTAGGCCTAGACAAAAGGAACCAACAATTAGTGCTAGGAAGTTAGTATTTGTAACAGATAAGAAATAAAGATGAATTTTCTACTCTTATGTAAAAAAACAAAAACCCTCGGGGGCGCCTGGCTGGCTCAGTGGGGAGAACATATGACTCCTAATCTTGGGGTCATGAGTTCAAGCCCCACATCATTAGGTGTAGAGCTTACTTAAAAAAACAAAAACAAAAAACCTCAATACTTACATAAGTGTAGTAATTACCATAAAAGAAATGAAACCACATCTCTGTATTTGTCTGTTCTGGACATTTCACATAAATGGAATCATACGATATGTGCCTGTTATGTCTGGCTTCTTTCTTTTTTCTTTTCTTGTTTTTTTTAAGTAGGCTCCACACCCAGCATGAAGTCCAACACAGGACTTGAACTCACGACCCTGAAATCAAGAGTCAGACACTTAACCAACTGAGTCACCCAGGTACCCCATGTCTGGCTTCTCTCACTTAATATGTTCTAGAGGTTCATCCGTGTGATAGCATGTACCATTAGTTCATTCCTTTTTGTGGTTGAATAATATTCTACTATATGGATATGCCATAATTTGCTTATCCAGTCCTTGGTTAATGGACATTTAGGATGTTTCCATTTTGGGGTTATTATGAATAATGCTGCTATGAATGTTCCTGAACAAGTTTTTGTGTGAACAGTGTTGTATGCCAACACAGGACATATTCATAAGAAGCAGTCATACACAGTGTTATTAACCATATCATTAGTTGTCACTTGAACATTTACTGTGTACCAGGCAATTTGCTAAGGATTTTATAAACATTGTAGTTAATCCCCACAAGAACTATAGAAGGTAGGTATTATTACCTCCGTTTTCTAGATGAAAAATGCAAAAAAGACTAATTTGTTCAAGGCCACAAAATAAGTAGTGGACTTAAGGCTGAATCAGTTGGACATATATACATGTACATGAGAACATGTATAAAGTGTGAACTCCCCTGGATATCACAAACATTAAATATTTTTAAGTCTTTACAATGCAGTTATGTCAGTAAAGCAAGAGAGCAAGCAAGCAACCCCAAAATGATTAAATAAATTACATAAATGAAAGAGTTTTAATATAAATATTAAACATAATGCTATTGAGAAATATTTGGTGACAGAAAAATGTTTATGATGCATTTAGGTGAACAGAACATGACAATGTAACCTCAATTTTATAAAAGAGAAATAACATAAATGAATATATAGTTTAAAAAACTAGAAGGAATTATCCCAAATTATAATACAGAAATACTATAGTTATTCTGAGTGATAAAATTATGGATAATTTTTATTTCTTATATTCTTATACACTTCCCAAAATTTCTGCAAAATATGTATTATTCCAACAGAGAAATATACAATATAAAAAACTATAATAATTTAAAATAAGCACTAAAATTTTTCTTTTCAGGAAAAACTCTCACATTTTTGGAGAAAAATGGAAGATCAGGGCCCAGAATACTAAATGGCACCTTATCGCCAACACA